GGGCAGTTCCTGCATTGAGCGTCTGCCCCCTGGTGGTCAGTGTGTGTCATAGTGACCAGTCATTCCCAGTCTTTCTGCTGTTATGGTTAGTTTGCATATTGCCCTTTTACTATATAGGATAGAGGCCTGGTGCACAGGTGGGGGCCTGCTGGTTTGCCCTGAAGGGTGTCCCAGATCAGGTTGGGGGTCCCGCTTGCATGCCTGGCCAGCCTTGGTGAGGGACTGATGGCTGTTTGCAGCTGGTCACACCCCCTTCAGGGTGGGGATTCCCACTGGGGTGCCTGGCCAGCCTGGATGAGAAGCTGATGGCTGTTTTCAGGCTGGCCACACCCCCTTTAGGGTGGGGGTCCCCACTGTGGTGCCTGGCCAGTCTGGGTGAGTGGTTGAGGGCTGTTTTCAAGCTGGCTGGCGACTGAAGCTCCCAGCCTCTCCTTTTTTTCTTTTTTTAATTCTGGAATTTATTTACCTTCTATAATTGAAACTTTGTTGCCATCACTGGAGCTAAGAACCGGGCTCCTGCTCGCTCCAGCTCTGTGGCCACAGCCTGCTGAAAGAAGGTATCTGGGGTTTGTTTAGCTTCTATAATTGAAACTTTGTTGCTTTCGGAGCCCAGAGTCGGGCCGCGGCAGTCGGGGAACCTTGGCTTCCTCCATCACTGGAGCAAGCAAGCCTCCTGCTTGCTTCAGCTGCGTGGCTGCCGGCCCCCATCTTGGTTGGGAAAATTTGCATATCGCACTGATTAGCCAATGGGAGGCGTAGTGAATGTACGGTCAATTACCATGTTTTTCTATTATTAGATAGGATTATTATATTATTTAGCAAAAATGTATACATTTTCTTTTGCTCCACTATATATTATATTTAGTCCCAAAGCACTTGCAAAAGCAAGCAACTACCCAAAATTATAATATCTTCAAATTAAATTAATTATATTTTTATAAGGTAACTAACAGAACTGTATTCCTAATTTTTTTTTTGCATAATTCACTATATTCAGATGTTTCCACCCTTGGAATTTTGGAACAATTGTCTCTGAGAAAATGAGAGCTTTCAGCCACTGTTGCTACATGTGTGTGTTGTGTGTTCCTCTGCAACATGAAAGTTTGATGTTGCGTGCATGTTGTAGAAGAAATTGAATTTTATTCATATTTGTTTCTCATGATATTTACAATTTCACTTTTATTTTTCAGAAAAACTTCAGGAAAAGTTTGGTAAAGTATTCCTGACAATTCTTTATTGCCATACCTTTAATAACAATGTGATGTCTTTAGCATTATCTGACTTTTTCCCTCTTGACATTATTTGGCTCACCTTTATTTTGGAAGTCTACTCCTTTTTCCTCAATTATTTTGGTCTGTATACTTCTCACATATGAAGTTCCATCTATTTATTTTCACAACTTCCATCCTTCCCAGTTCCTTCCCTTTTCCATCTCATACCTGTGTTTCCCTATAAACTTTGGCATTTTCTGCTTCCCAGAAACTTGCCATATTTACTGTGAATCTTGTGAGGTGAAGAGGGTTGTGCTAACAGGCACAGGATTTCCACTCTATATATTTTGTCTGTAAAATACCCATTAAAGTAGGACCTCTGCCATTTTTTCCAAGTTGAGGGGCCCAGCTTAAGCAAACTGGGTGATGAGAGAAGATTCCATATGCAATGAGTGCATTTGACCCCTCCACTGTCCTGCCAAAATTTTCTAAGTTCCGATGTCATTCATTGACTGAGTGTGACCCATAGGCCCACTCTTTCACCTCCCTGGTGACCATATTCCAGGTCGCACAGACAATTCATATAATATTTTCTGGCCTTTTTCCTTCCAACTCCATTAAATGCTCTTTATTCTTTTGCATTTTTATTCACTCAGGTATTAATTCACAACATTGCAAAAGATTTTTTATGTTTGCAAAAGGATGTTACATCTGAAGGAAAGTTCATGTTTGATGTATCTTCAGCTCAGTACTCTGTATGTTGATGACATGAGAAGCTATTTGTCATAGCATGATCCCCAAAGATTTTTTTCATGGAGCCATATTAGAATCATTAAATGCCTTATTTGCTCCTTTTCTGATGTTACATTTCAATTATGTTTTAGTTTAGAGATACAATGGAATTTTGGAAAGAGAGCTCCTTATGTTTGTAAGCAGGCTTCATATGATTACTGATCCAGATACAGGTGTTGATAGCCAGATACTTTTACTATAAACAGGCTTCTGCATCAGACTTAAAGTACCTCTCTCAGGTATGTGCACTTTTGCCATTCAGGTCTGAAAAGGTGGAAAGTCTAAAGCAAGACCAATGATTGTTATTGTTCACCCCAGAGGCAGTTCTCCTTTAGGTCTGTCATATTTCCATTTCCAATCTCATTGCTTTTGAACGCATAGGTATGGAGATGGAGGGTGAAACTGGTTCTCATTGGTTACATGGACTTAGGATCCTTTTTCTCCACTTGTTAGAAGTGTGGGTCAGTTTACATTAAAGAATAAACAACAGAAGGGTTTCAAATTAGCGTGTTTTCTCTTCCTGACATTAAGCCTTCATTATGTTTGAACATTTTTTTTCTTTCTTTCACTATTTCAGATAAGGGTGACCAGGATAAAGCCAAGTCCCATGAAGGTATTTCACTTTGCACTTACTCATTGTCATGTGTTTATTTTGCATTTGTTTTCAACTCTCAAGGATCAGCATCCTTACTCCACCACACACGTACATCAGTTTTTCATGTATTGTTATGATTTCAACGTAAGTTTACTATTTTCATTTGTTATTTGGTTTCCCCCATGATTATTTCTTTGATGGTTCTGTCCTTGTAATGTATGCAAACATTTCCTTTCTGACAAGAAAATTTTAGTAATTACTTTTCTGCAAAATTTTGCTATTTTTAAAGTGTCTGATCTGAAAGTTTTGTCCAATATATTCCAGGACATATAATGTAGACCTCCCTTCCTACCCTTCTCCTGCCATACAATGTAGACTTCTCCCCTTCCCCATCCCCAGCCAGCCATTACTGCCATTTAGTACTTCACCTCCCTTCCCTCTGAATTGCATATGATAAAGTTTATTCAGGCATGAGTTAAAATCAGGCTCACATACAATAAAGTTATGTATGAACCATTTGACAAAACATTGAGGATGGAGGTACCCATTAACCTAATCTGCAGAACCAATAGGAGCACTACAGGATCTTTTCAAATACCTGATGAGCATCTGTATGTCTCCTTGGAAGATGAAATACTGCCATTAGCGACAACAGGGATGGATCTTGAGAATATCATGCTGAGAAAAAGTCAGATGGATCTTGAGAATATCATGCTGAGCAGAAAAAGTCAAGAACCATATGATTTCACTCACACATGGCATATAAAACTGAAAGCACAAAATGAGCACACAAGACAATGAAACAAAACCTCACAGAGACAGGAAAGCATGGAACTGACTGAGAATTCTTAGAGGCATTGGGTGTGTGTGTGTGTGGCGGGGGGGGGGGGACAGGTGGGCTGGAAATATTAACCAAAGAACTTAAATGCATATATGCAGAGCCCATGTACAATTATAATAGTGTCTTGAAGACCTGGGTGTGAGGCTGTAGAAGAAAGGTTGAGAGGGTTAATGGGCGGAGGGGAGGGGCAGGAGGTAGGAGGGACTTCTGTAATATTCTCCATAATAAAGTTTAAAGAGAGAAAAACCTCATAGACACAGACAACTCTATGGTGGTTACTAGAAGGAGGGGGAGTAGTACAGGATAAAGGATGTTGAAATATATGGCAAGGGAACAAGATTTGACTATGGGTGGTCTGCCTACAATGGCATACACAGATGATATATCATAGAACTGCACTATTAGTACCACATAATCTTATTAACCAACATCATCCCAATAAATTTAATCTACAAAAAATATTTAAAGAACAGTAGAGATATAGTATTAATAATAAAACACTAAATAATCTCAAAAGAGATCACAAAAATATGTAAGGTCATTACCAGAACTAATGTTTGCATAATTTCCTCATTTCAGATAATTCATTTATTTTTCCCTGTTTAATTACCTCAAAGGGGAGCTTTAAGCCATATTTGTGTGTAGGGACATGTGTGTGCATTTGTATATGTATGTGTGCGTATTTGTTTTATATCTGCATCCTAAATTTAAATACATAGTATTCAATATTTTTGAATTTTTTTGTGTTTCTAATAAAATTTACATTAATTTTTCTTTTTTTCCAGCCAAACTTGTGAAGATATTGGGTAAATTTTCTCTCATATCTCTTTACTCCCAAACACTTTAAAATGACTGCTTTCTGATGTGTCTAACATTTCCTGCCTTTTTATTGTTTGGCCAATTAATTGCTTTGCACTTCTCCTAGATGCCTACTAACCTAACCCAGATTTCTTCCAGAAAATCTGTTTCAATATTGTCGAATATTATTGCAACTGTAATATACAAAACTAGGGGCCCAGTCCACCTATTTGTGCACCTTGCAAGGAACTGTGGGCCCTGAGGCTGTAGTGGGCAAAGGGGCAGGTCTCGGCCCATCCTCCGCACCCCCGCCCGGCCCCTCCTGCCAAGGCCCCCAGTCTCCTGTCTGCAGGCAGCCCTGCTCCCGCTGGCCCCACTCTCACGTGCTGAGGGCGCTGACCCCCCTCGCACCCGCTGATTGCTTGGAGCGATTGGGGCCAGCGGCAACAGCGGGTGCAAGCAAGGCCAGCACCATTAGTGTGTGCGAGCGGCACCGGCTGCCCCGATTGCCCCTCAGGATCAGGGGGAGGTGGAGCAGCCCTCAGGGACAATTAAGGCTGGCAGCTGGCACTCGCACCCACTGAGGGTGCTGAGTGATCAGGGCCAGCACCAGGTGCTGGCAATGGGTGCGAACGGTGGCTCTGATGTCTGCAGTGGGTGCAGCGGTGTGGGTGCCAGCAGCAGGTGCGAGAGCCCGGCAGGACTGCGGCTGGAGGGAGTAAAGAATTTTCAATAACCACCAGAGATTCACTCCTGACACCCCACCTTAGTCTGGCGCCCCCACTCACCTACTCCACCATCAGCTGCAGCCGATGCCCACCATGTTTTGTGCATGTCACCTGGTGGTTAGCGCACATCATAGTGAATGGTTGTTCAGTTGTTTGGTTGTTCAATTGTTCTGCTGTTTGGTCTATTTGCATATTAGGGCTTTATATGTTTAACTAGAGGCCCGGTGCATGAAAATTCATGCACTTGAGGGGGGTTCCTCAGCCCAGCCTGCCCCCTCTCACAGTCTGGGAGCCCTCAAGTGTGGGAGGTGACCCAGTGATCAGGGGAAGGCGACTCCCCATCACCCCTCTGCTGCTGCCACTGCCGGCAGCGCAAGCCTCAGCTGTCCCTGGTTACCTGGGCCTCAGGTGGCCCTGGGTGTCTGGGCAGCCACCATCTGAGGCTTGGCTGCACCTTGGGCCAGCCCTGGGTGGCTGGGGGGCTGAGGGGACTGGGGGAATCCAGAGGCAGGTGCTCGGCAAGGCCGGGCCCACCTCCGGGGGGTGGGGGGCACTGGACTTGCCGGGTGCCTGCTGCCCAGGCAGGGCTGAGGGGAATGGACACCGCCATCTTGTGGCTGTGGATGCCACCATCTTTGAGGGCTGGGCAGACAATTAGCATATTCCCTCCTTATTGGCTGTGGGTGTCACCATCTTTGCAAATGGTGTGAGGGTCAATTAGCATATTCCCTCTTTATTAGATAGGACTAGAGGCCTGATGCATGAAATTCATGCAAGAGTAGGCCTTCCTTCTCCCAGCTGTCGGCACCAGCTTCCCTCTGGCACCCAGGACCTGTGCTTTCCTTCTGCTGCTGTCAGGGACCTGGAACCAGGGCTTCCCTCCTCTGGCCACTGGCAGGCACCCAGGAGCCAGGCTTCCCTCACAGCCCCGGCTTTGTCCTAAGAATGTCTGGAAGGACATTCAGTCTAATTAGCATATTACACTTTTATTATTATAGATAGATATGTCTGAGTCATTGGCATTTTAAGTGACTGGTGTGAACATTTAGTCCAACAAATGCCCAGGTCATTGGATTTAGAACTTGCTTTATTTATATTTATTACTTCATTCCTTTCCTTTCATGAGATTTAATGAAGATGAGCTGCATTTGGGGGATGAATTGAAATAGAAACCCACATAAAACAAAATTCTGTATTCATAGGTTGACAAAAAATGTTCTGAATCAGAACACTCAGGCATTGAACTCTGTATTTTCTCTAAGAACAAGGGTTCAAGCTTCTCAGTTTTGCTGTTTGGGCTATGTTATACAACATAGCTATAACAAAAATGAGAACTGACTACATAAATTTAGTAGCAGCCAAAAACCATATTAAAGCAAGCACACTGAGTAATAAAAGTCTAAATAAAATTTAAATCAGTCATGTACATTTTGAAAAGGTAACTACCAAGATTATTATTCCTAAATTTTTTTTCTCAATTTAGTAAATTCACT